CTACTTCCTCAGCTTCCCAGAGTGCTGGAATTACAGATGTGTGCCACCATCCCTGTCTGAAATGGCCTAAATTTCACGAGAAAGTACCATAACTGCATGGAAGGGTATTCTATAAAATAACTCACCTATTGCCTTTAGAAATGTCAAGGTCATGAAAGCCAAAGAGAGCGAATGCCGCTAGTTGGAGGGGATTTAGGAGCTGTGGGAATTTAATGCAGTGTGTGATCCTAGTTTTGGATCCTGGGCCAGAAAAAAGGACATGAGTAGGTAACTGGGGACATTTTATTATGATTACTGTATCAGTTGTAAGACTTAATCACTTGAAAATAAAAAATTAAAAATAATGCTTAAAAATTATCTAGGTATGACTAATGTGGCTGCCAGGATTTATAACAAATCTACAAATTGTTAGTGTCCAGCTCAGTGAATTGTAGTCATCGGCAAGTGGCCTCTGCAAAAGTAGCAGTTGGTGAAATTAGGCTTGTTACTAAGTTACAAGGGCAATCTCAATTTTTAGAGAAATTATTATTACATTTGAACAAATGCTATAAGTTCCTTTGATGGATGCCTATATATTTACACCTGTAGTGGAAGTATTTCAGTTTTGAAGAACATGTTTATTTTTATTTTCATAGTTTTGAGTGCTAGGGATTGAACCCTAGGGCCTTTCCTCCTAGGCATAACTTTGTCGCTACAGTCTTTTGTTTAGTTTTTAGTGTGATTCGCGATAGGGGGCCTCTTCTGAAATTGTATCTTTGATTTCAGGTGGGAAAACATTTGATGTAATTGTGATAGATCCACCATGGCAGAACAAATCAGTTAAAAGAAGTAATAGGTAAGTGGACGTGAATTCTCTATTGCATGTGCTTTCTTTTTTTTTTTTTTTTTTCCAAAATTTTATTTTTTTTTATTTTTTATTTTATTTTTTTATAGTTGATATCTTGTATTGTTTAGGAAATGATCAGAAGTTTGTACATACTCCGTATACATCTAATTTCTTCTCAAAATTTTATTGATAAACAGCAATGAGACAGTTTCAAATCAAATCGGAAGTACAGTTTCAACAAATAACACACTGCATATATTCTTCTTAGTGGTTAATTGCTGTACAAGATGCAGACTTGATGCATGTGCTTTCTAGAAACTGTAGTCCTTTGTATATTCAACATAATAATACAGGTTACTGTAATGCTTTAAATGGTTTTTAAATTATTATTATTATTTATCTTTTTGAGACAGGGTTTTACTATGTTGCTCAAGCTCTCTTGAACTCACTGTGTAGCCCAGGCTGGCCTCCAACAGTGATCCTTCTGAGTGCTGAGATTACAAGTGTGTGCCACCCCACCCAGCTGATTTTTAAATTTTAATTTCTTTAATTAGATAATTCTTTTATATGAATATCAACAGTAGTATGTTTGTTCCTAGTCTGAGCTCTACTTTGACTAATTTAAGGTCATTTTTGTAACAGCAAAGGACAATATTTTTGCCTTAATTGATAATAAATTGTAAAATTGAGAAATATGTGCCCAGATAATTCTGGTTTTCCTTAATAACGTGTTATGGGTGAATTTATCTAATTTATTCTCACATCTGTTTATATTTTTCATTTATGAAGCATTATGTGTTACCTGCTAGGATGAGTTCAGTTATTTACCATGGTGATGTTTTCTTTTAATGAGGTTCTTAAAACAGTATTCCTCTTTAGTTCTAATAAAAGTTTTTACTTCTCTTCAATTATGTAGAAATAAAATTCCTCTTTTGACTTAAACTTCATCTAAAATTTCTTCCTTTAACAATTTATCTTTAGCTTTCTTATTTTGCATTTTTTATTCTGTTCTGTGATTAGGAGGGTATTTTTCTTTTAAAATTTTAAGAATTATACAGAGAATTCATGTGTCTGTTCTCTGGGGTCTATATGTGTGTAAGTATATCTATAAAATATTTTACTCACTTGAGAATAAGTTATGAAAGTTATACTTAAATGTTTCAGTGTACATTTCCAGAAAACATGTTATCTTATGTAATCCTAATGCAATTGTGAAACCATGTAGTTACCATTGGTTCTCTCTCTCTCCTGCTCCACCAGTTGAATCAGACCTAGGGCTTCATGTCTGCTAGGCAGGGTCTTGTCCCTGAGCTATGTCCCCTGCCTGGTGCACTGGCTCACTGACACGGTGTTAGTACCTCTAGACCCTTCCATCAGCTGTACCAGAAATGTGCTTTGTAGCAAAATAAAGTAGGTCATGCATTCCAGTCGAGTGTAGTGTCTCCATAACACCCTCGAGTTCTCTTCTTTTGATGGGTTTTAGTCTGTATGTTTTCCTAGTTGGCCGTAATGGAGTGATCACCTGGGTGAGTTCTGTGAGCTTTCTGACAGAATATTGAGCGTGAGGATGGCTTTGGAAACCACTTGGATTTATGGTTGTTTTTAGAAGTGAGCTCAACTTGGGGATTGTTGTTTCAAACTTGGGGTTTGGTTAACCCTAGGAAGTGTATCTCCATTTCTATGTGGTACGTAGCAGAGGTAGAGTTGCTGTACCCTGTGAGGACTACATCTCTAAAATTTTGAGTGCCTAGTGGCTGTACCATTTCATGTGCTCTTACCAGCAGTGAAGGTTCTTACTTTTCTTTGCCAACACCTGTTATTTTCCATTAAAAAAAATTAACAACATCCTGGTGAGTGTCTTTTTCTAAAAAAATGTATTTGGTACAGGGTCTCAGTGCACAGCTCAGGCTCATAGTGATCCTCCTGTTTTCAGCCTCCCCAGCACCGGGATTACAGGCGTGCACCGCCACTATGCTGGGTTTGGTGGCTGGCGCAGCATGTGCTGCCTCTGTATCTTTCTAATAACTAATGATATTGAACATCTTCTCATGACCCTGTTGGTCATTTGTTTATCTTTTATGGAAAATTTAAAATGGTCTGCTTAAGTCCTGTGTGCTGTTTTTCAGAACTGGGCATTGAACCGAGAGTTACTCTACCTCTAAGCTATATCCCAGCCTTTTTAATTTTTTGTTTTGCAACAGACTTTCAGTCAGTTGCCAGGCTGGCTTTGACTATGCAGTCCTTCCTTTGCACATTTTAAAATTTAGGGGTTTTAAATCATTGACTTATAAGACTTTAAAATTTTTTATTTATTTTTATTTATTTTTATTTTTTGTTGCAGTACTGAGGATTGAACTCAGGACTCTGCTCTTGGATATATTTTGGATCAGATATATGATTTGCAAATACTTTCTTTTATTCTTTGGATTTTGTGTTTCACTTTTCTGTGAAGCACAGTTTTTAATTTTGCTATAATTCAGTTTATCTTTTTACTTTTGTTGCATGTACTTGTGGGGTTGTATGTCAGAAATTTTTGCCTAAACCAAACTCACAAATATATACACATTTCCTCTGGAGAATAGGTAATACTACATATTTTTCATTGCATATATTTAACATATAAAGATGCATATATTGGAGTTTGTCCAATGACTTTGATGAGATTAGAGCTGGAAGAGGGAAGATACATTTTCCTCCATCCATCCAATTAAATAAAATTAAGGCAATCAAGAACTCTGCAATTACTGGAACCAAGTCATTTGAAATTTTTAACTGTACATTCTTCATATTGTGACATTAGCTTTTAAGCCATCACTTAGATCATGGAAATGCTAACCTGCTAGATGGGACCTGGTCTAGATGGCAGGGAACTGGGGGACTTGAGCTCTGAGTTCTTTTCTTTTTTATTTTATGTATTTAGTATAGGATCTACAGGGTCGCACCACACAGCTCAGACTCATGGTGATCTCCTATTTTCAGCCTTCCAAGCACTGGGATCATAGGTGTGCGTCACCATGCCCAGTCTCAATCGCTGTCTCAGCACGCCCCAGGGCTGGGCTGGCACGGCATGCCAGAGTGAACCCTTTGAGCTCTGAATTCCTTCATTCCTTTGTTTAAGAAATGTTTGCTAAGACCGGCTGTGGTGGTGCACACCTATAATCCCAGGGGTGAGTTTGGGGTTGGCACTTGGTGAGTGGTAAGGATTTAGTAGGACTTGGCCAAGAGTAATGAATTTACAAATAGTTTTAAGCAGTGGAGCATGGGATTAATAAACTTTAATGATCTAGTTCATTAGCTCTTCCTTTTTCTTCGCCCGATTTCCCGATATAAAGAAGGTAATGAAATTGTGGTCTTGCTTGGAGATGCAGCTCCATGGCAGAGCGTGTTTTGCACCCTTGTTCAGTCTGTAGCACACACAGTTGTGGTCCTGACTTATGCCAGGGTTTGCAAGCACTGAGGGTGTCAGTGAGCCAGGAAGGAGGTCGGAGGAGGAATGACCTGGTGAGGAGGAGGCACGGGGTGGGCACTGGGTGCTCGCACAGGTCAAGAACAGGTGAGACTGGAGGCTGTGACCGGAAGCCATTGTTTCGGAGTCAGAGGAGGAGTGAGTGAGTAAGGACAGGCCTGTGCCATGGCCCTACCATGGTATGGAACAGTAGCTGAAATGTGCATGTTGTGTGGTGTGCCCTTTGCAGTTGCCGAGGGCAGGGGCAGGGTTCTTTTGGTCTTTTTCATTTTTTATTTTTTTGTATTTTAGGGAAGGGTCTACAGGGTCTCACTACTAGATCAGACTCATAGTGATCCACCCATTTGCAGCCTCTCAACAGCTGGAATTACAGGTGTGCGCCACCACACCCAGTCTTAATCGTGGTCTCAGTGCGCCCCAGGGGCGGGGCTGGCATGGCAGGCCCAGGGATTGAATCCCCAGTTCCTGCACCTGCTTGCAGGTACTTTAATCCACTGAGCTTTTTTTTTTTTTTTTTGCGGGGGTGGGGGGAACCGGGGATTGAACTCAGATCCTTGAGCTTGCCAGGCAAGCGCTTGTTCTACTGAGCAAGCTCCCTGGCCCCCCACTGAGCTATTTGGCTGGCCCTCCCCCCTTTTTTTTTGTCTTTTTGAGACAGGGTTTACACAGCTCAGGCTGGCCTTAAGCTCACTGGGTAGCCCAGGCTGGTCTGGAACACTTAGTGATCCAGTGCTGGGATTATAGATGTGGCTAGCATGCCAGCCTGCATTATTGAATAGATGGGTCTCAGAGTCAAGCTGTGAAGAGTTTGGAGGAAATTAACTTGGCGCGGAACATTTGAGGCTGAGAAGGAGGTTTCATGCCAGAATGGAGGAGGGCGTCCAGAAGCAGCAGCAGGAAGCTGGGAATACCAGTCTTGCCCCTCCCCTGTGTGTTGTGTGGGAGAAGGGGCGTGCTCATGTGGTGGGGGGTGTTGTGGAGCAAGGGGTGTTCTAGCAACACCAGTGGCCTTCTTGCTATTAATGGTACAAAATGGTAGCCCAGTGGCTGCAGAGAGCCTCGTGCACATGATCAGAAGGAAGAAGAAACAGGATGATAAATGGGGTTGACAGCTTGCCTTGGGAGGGGCCAGGTTGGGTGAGAGGTGGGCACTGGGGTGGGGGGCAGCTTCCCTGAGGCCACTTGGCTTTAGGGTTGCCCTCCCCTTGTGACTAGCTGGGACGCTTAGCTGGGGCGCTTAGCTGGGGTGCTTGTCTGGGGTGCTTACCTGGGGCTGTCTGTAGGCTTTGGCTTGGGTTACTGAGACACTGGTGTAGAGATTCACCATGAGGTGGTACCCATGAAATAGATGAAGCTGAGTGCATGTCTGTAATAGCAGCACTGAGAGGCTGAGGCAGAAGGATCACAGGCTGGAGGCCTGCTGGGCAGCTTATTGAGACTGTCTCAAAATGAACAAAAAGGCTTGGGGATGAAGTTGAAGGGCAGAATGCCCTTGGCTTCGATCCCTAGTTTTGACGGTGGTGGTGGTGGTGGTGGGGAATGAGAGGACCCAAGTGATACTTGCTTAATTTGGAATGGTAAGATATCTGATGGGAAAATCGCCAAAATGTGCCTAGTAGTGATTAAAAACAAACAGCCTGACAATTGTCTGCTCGTAAAAGAAAACCAGTCCCATTATCTTTGATGTTTGTATGAGTGTCCACCAGGTGACACTGTGGCTTCACGTTTGGCACACAGATAACCGGGACCAGGGCAACAGGAGCTTTGCATTTTGGGGTTTGTGTTGCGCAGGTCTCCCCTTGCATTTCTTTTTTTGTAACAAAATTTGCCCGTTACCCACTTATTTTTAGGTACAGTTACTTATCACCGCTGCAAATACAGCAGATCCCCATCCCTCAGCTGGCTGCTCCCAACTGTCTCGTCGTTACCTGGGTGACCAACAGGCAGAAGCACCTGCGCTTTGTAAAGGAAGAGCTTTACCCTTCGTGGTCCGTGCAGATACTTGCTGAGTGGCACTGGGTGAAAGTGAGTTCAGATGTATCTATTCATACCACATGACATCCATCCACATCGTGTGGCGTAGAGACTGTGTGAAGACAGTGTCTACTTTGCAGCGTTTAACACGGGTGATAGTCTTTAACAGGATCTAATTAAAACTTTTGCTCTGCTGTTCAACTCTTATCTCTGTTTCTTTTCTCTTCTTTTTTTTTTTGTCTTTTTGAGACAAGGTCTCTATGCATTTGGGGCTGGCCTTGAGCTCACTTTGCAGCTCAGGTTGGTCTTGAACTCACAAGGATCCTCCTGCCTCAGCCTTCTGAGTGCTGAGATTATAGGCATGTGCCCCCATGCCTGACATTTTTATCTTCTTATCTTCTCAAGACTATTGCCTTGTTCGCCGCTTCTTTTGGTATTAAGGTCCCCACTGCTGGTCAGAGACACACCTGAGTGAAATTTAGGAAGCTCTACACTACTGATTTAGTTTTTTTATTTTTATTTTTTTT